CAAGGGAACCTTTACGCGACCAGTGGTGAAGTTATGTCCCCTGCCATCACAGTAGGAACTTAGTCTTGTTTGAGGGGAATGTACTAGAATGTCTTTTTTTTTTCTTTTTTTTTTCTTCTCATTATAGTTTGTTTTTTGCTCAACTTGAAGATAAGTTGAACGATCTAGACTATAAGATCTGGGTTATGGGTATGTTTATTTTAATTTAATTAATTTTACAACCGTGGTAACTGTTATTTTAAGTTAGGCAAGTGACTCTGAAAAAAAAATGGTTTTCAGGGTCGGGGGTATGTTCTGTTCTATAATGAAGTTACTATAATTCGAGAAAAAGTTTGAACACAATTCGGCAACGTAGCATTTTTACACACCTGAGAAAAATCAGAAGTTAGTAGAGAGTACATAGGTAGTACCTACACATCGGTGTGTATAGTTCGGTCGATATAATGAACTTTTCCAAAAACTAAACGAGAGATTGCTGGGTTTCGGCCAGCTGGTCCTTTTCGAGCAAATTGATAGTGTAATCACTCAAATTTGTAATCCTGTTTTCCCTTCCCTCCCAAAAACCCTGTTTTTCCGAGTGAAAGAAGAACCGGACCATAAGAGAGTCAACTACCAAAAAACCGGTGAGTACAAAAATTGATGTTACGAAGGAACAATTTCATTAATTCGCGTTTTAAAATACTGGAATTGACTATAATTTTGGTTGAAATATATTCCGAAACTATCAATTTGGGTCTTAAGTCGATTCAAAATATTCGTAACTTGCCGTCTTGTTTCAGAATCTCTTTGCTTCAAGCTATTTTTCAAATGTTCGTCCTTTTCTTTGATTTTTTTTTCTGTATCTTTCATTTAAAAAAAATCAGGAAACTGGTGAAAGATGCCCTTTTGAAAAGAGCCTACTATAATATTGAGGAATTTTACAATGAAACTCTGTTATGACCTCAACATGTACTACTCCAAATAGTATATATTTTATTGATCTGCTTTGACAATTGTGCGCTTCAATTTTTAATGTGTACTGTTCATTGTCCTTTTACACTCAATAAGTTCATTTGTTTTTATATTATCAATTTAGTTATTATGTTTATGTTATGTTATAGTTTTATCAACTTTTTTGAATGCTATGCTTTGTCAATAAGAAATACTGTTTCTTAGACAATAAAGTATATTTCTCTCTCTCTCTCTCTCTATCATTAACTATCAATAAATTTTGAGTTTCGGCATATCTTCTCTCTAAATCTTCCATAATTCCTCGTTTGTGATCCAGAATACATTTAATTTCATCTTGGTATTCTACTTGAATTTTTCCTCGTGAAAATTGTCCTGAATTCGATAAGGAATGTCTTCGATATTCCTTCTGATGATGGCATGAAGGCTCCGCATTTTCTTCCAATTTGATAGTATGTTCCACTATGAAATCTTCACATTTGAAGTGCACCTATAATGTTAAAATTGAAATTATAAATGATATTATTCCTCCGAATATGCATCATATTCAATCGAAAAATTCAAATATTGAGTACTTACTTCGCAAATCTTGATACCTGAATTCAATTTTCATAGTGGCCGCTTCATACTTTCTTTCCATTTCTGTAACTGTTGTTGGTTAGAATGGGGGAAATGGAATAAATGAAAGGTCTCGCTTCCATTTTTGCAATTCTCCACTACACAATTAGACATTTCAATTTTTGAAAACCTGAATTTTCAAATAATTTAAAGTCATGTACGTTCATGAACTATCAGTGCCCGCCAAATTGTTCATGTCATTTCAAATTTTTTAGGGTTATGCCTTCTGTCACTGCTTGTCATAGTGTCCGTACTCTTATTACAGCAAAAGTGTCGAATACATACAGGGACTCTAGTCAAGCCTAGTTCCATTACAATCTGATCTATTAGAATCTGATTCACTACATCCTGATCTATCACAATCTGATCTATTACAATCAGATCTATTACTACTGAACGATTACAATCAGGAGATTGATGAAATAAACTCCTGGAGTACGTACTTCAATCCTTTCCTGTTTTACAATTCCTTGATTTTCGCCATTGTTACCGTTCTGAATAACTGATATTGATCGAAGTACGTGTACTCGTACAGTAGATGAGTGGTGAGAGTTCTGCATCAAATGTTCCTTTTCAATTGTAGATAGGCAATGGGGGTTCTATATTCAAATCGAGTAGTTCAGTTTGTGGTTTTTCATGGTCTTTAACATTTCCGGCAGCTGAAATTTTCATGTTCTTTTCTTGGACTGGCCAACAACAGGTAAAAATCAATATTATTGATGTATATATATGAAAAATATCTTCGACCCCCATAACGAAGATCTTTTCAACATGCCATGTTACTCTGATGACCGATATTCCGGAAATGATCCCTCGCTGAAATTTGGCAATGACGTCCCTCTATTGGAACTTTTTGAGATGTTTTTTTTTCATTCGCGAATGTTCACTTTATGATAATTTTCCTCGAAAACTTCCATCAGATTCAGAAAGATCAGACACAATGCCATATGGACTTCTCTTCAATCTGCACGGCACACTTTGACCTGTTCAATAAAGGAATGATTTCTCGAATTCGACCTGGATGATAATTCCTAACTTTCAACTGGGTACATGAAAATTATTTGTTGGATAAGACTTGACAGAAGGGTAATTGAGAAAATAGATCATGTTGTTTTTTATCGAGATTCTAGATAGATTAGTATTAGATTTCGTGACTTTGTGTCATGGATTTTATTTGAAGTAATAATGAACTAATCTTTGGAAGAAGTCCATGGCAACTCATATGATGAAATGTATATTAGGCCCTGTTTTTCATTGTGTGACCTGACGTGACGTTTGTTGATAATCCGAACCTGAAAGTTGATGTTCGATGTCCGATCCGATAGGTAGGTATAAACTGATAAAATTTCGGCATAAGGATTTTCATCTGCCCCCATAGATGGTGATTAATCAACTAGTTATGTCATCACGCGTGAACTGAGCTTCATTCGTTCTTGATACACTTCTGCGAGTTATATAAGGATGTATTCGCTATTTCTTCAATAGTCCTCTGATGTTCACCCACGTGGAGGTTTTACTGCTAAGTACTCTTGGGTCTGGAAATCTTCAATGTTATCAATTATTGCAGCATTTGAAATATGAAGTGGCATCTTGAGTTCAAGAATATTTCGATTACTAGTGATTAGCAATCAACATCAGACGCGGGGCATACTTTGATACAAATTTATGAAATAGAGTCACAACTGTTTATCTTTCATTGTATTGCATATTTGATTTCATTTTGTTTCCCTCTATAAACATTGTATGTTTCTTGGGATCAATAAATGTTATTATTATTAACTGATAAAATCTTTCAAGAATTTTGACAAGAAACTATAACATTTCAGATTATCAAAAATTCAGAACTACTCTTTTCTATTCAACAAATATATACAAAAAATCAGTTTACATGAATTCAGTTGAGAGTTATATCAGCCAGGTTCAAATTGAAAAATCATTCGGAGGTTTTTGTTCCATATTTTCCATTGGATCGGTCAAAGTGTGCCGTGTAAATGAAGAGCATTTTTATGACATTTCATCTGATCTTTGTAAACCTGATAAAATGTTTCGAGGAAGGTGATCACGAAGTTATCTGTTTTGACATAACAATAAAACATGAAAATTTCTCAAGTTCGGATCTATGTTTTCCTTCATAATATGCCATAGTTCCAATAGAGAAACGTCGTTACCCAATTTCAGCCAATTACGGTGAATAATTTTTCAAATATGGGCCTACAATATAATATGGCAATTCCACATAATACGTCTTTGTTATGCATTGCCAAACAAATGCCCCAGGTGTTCAAGTTATCGTATACAAGCAATATCTTTCTTATGTGACAAGAAGTACATTCCTAATGACATATAAAAAAATCTATTACATTCGACAGTTCTCTGGCAGCTATACCTTAACTTTTTATTTCCAAATGGCACTCCCCTCATATTGTCATTGGAAATTGCGTCTCATCCTATGAGAGATATAACAAACAACAACAAGAAAAGCAACATTTAATGTAGTATGAATTTCAACTGAGATATAATATCTTATTTCGCATCGGCTTATTGAAACAAAAAACATGAGCGGAGGCAATTTTTCATTTTCATAAGGATACTCAAGTAACTTGGAACAAGTCACAAAATGTTGATATTTTTGTTGTTATCAATGAAAGTTTACGCCATTGTTTTGTTCCAAATTGAATGACACGTAATTTCCAATGACGATATACAAGGGGTGCCATTTGAAAAAAACAAGTGGGGGTAGCTGCCATAGAACTGTCGAATTCAATAGAAAGTTACTTCAATGTCATTCAATGCAGTTTTTGAATTTTTTTATTATCCTGTCAAATAAGCGAGATATTGCCTGTGTACGATAACTTGGGACACACGATATATACATCAACGCGTCTTGATTTCCTCTATCCACCATCTGGCTATGTGAGTCTCTCCCTGAATCAACCTGTATAAGATCAACTTTCTAATGTAGCTTTGATGATTTCAAAATATTCAGGAAAATCTGGAAGACAATCGCTCTCTCACAACTCGAAAGTGCATTTTGGTATAACATTGAAACGACCTTCTGATTTCAAAAGAAGATAATTTTCAGTAGTAATAGCTAAACGCTCAGCCTAGCGAATGCAAAATCCTCTTGTCAAACAATGTGCCACTTTCGAACCTAATAAAACAATCTACTATTATTTTTGATGACCTTTAGTACATCCTTTCTAGTTCCTAGGAGCTTGAGTTCAACTTCAGCTCTTAGGAACTGAAAGTGTTACCTAGCAACATACCTATGTTTGTGTCAGTAATAGAAACGACAATTCAAGTGCTACTTTTGGGATTAAAATGGACGAATTTTGTGTCGGTTGCAGGAAAATGTATTTTCTTCACAGGCATGTTTTTCAACTTGCTTCGTTTTGAAATACAATATTCACGCGAAAACCTTCTTTGACTTCCAGTACAGCTTCTACTTTCGTAACACCTGGTTTGTTGCACTACCTATTCATGGCACCAGAGAGATGGACTTGAGTCAGAAGCAGCGCATGATGCACATGCGTCTGCGTAGGATCATCTTAGCGCATAACGACATGTACACGCAGCAAGCTCAATACGAGAGGGAATTGCTGTTGAGGCGCGATCCAGATGTCAGAATCAAGAGGCCCGGGAATAATGTCTACACAGGATACGGAGATGTTGGGAATGTGTTCTTCTATTACGGGGTGATGAACGATAGTGAGTACCTATGTTGAATTCATATCGCAATTTTTATATATCGTATCATCGCAGTGAGGGATCTACGATTTCTGGGGCCCTAAGTTCATTGATTATTAGGGCAGCTGCGGCCCTCACCCTCATTTCTCCTTCTGATTTATTCCCCACCAATTCTTCAATTGATAATACTATCTGATATTTCCTTCCCAAATAAGAACGAAAACAAAACTGAACATTTAAATATAAAAATATATAGAATATAAAGAAGCAAGAAAATAGCACATTAATCGATAAATATATTGATGAAATATCATCAGCAATAACTTCGTTAATTCAAGCCCGATTTGTTTGATTTTTCTTTCAGTTCGTATGAGGAATCGTACACGAGGTTGGGATTTCAAGCAATTAAGCATATCTCCAAATTATGCAAAGTGACACAAAAAGTGCATTTTCAGTCCAATTTTGAAACATTCTCTGTAGTGGCTGTGCAATTATTTTATCAAATTTAGATTTCAATGTTTCGTTTTGTTTCTTATATCATATGTACATTCTTTAAATTCAATATAATTCCTGTTTTTGAACCTGTAAGTAGAAAAATAACAAATATGAAGCTCAAGTTTATCATCGAATGATTGAATAAGTTAATAAGTTTAATAAGTTATGAATCTTTCTGCAACCGACTCCTGCGAGAGCTATTGCTTTGTGTGCAGGATGGTAAATCACAATATTATGTGGCCGGAGCTTTGGGAGTTTCAAGATCTAAGGTGCAAAGAGCTGTGAAACGGTTGCGTGAATTTGGTGTATTTATAAGAAGAGATAATTGTGGTTGGAAAAAAAAACTGCTAATGATCGAGAAGTTTTTAGTGACAGAAGCCTTACTTCTGCCCAAATGAAGAACGAATCAGATGAGGTGAGGCATGTTGAAGTCAATGAGTCAATAAGGAGGAGACTTCTAGATATTGGACTTCGAGCAAGAAGACCTGCAACTGGTCCAGAATTATTGGGAAATCATCGAGTTGAACGTCTCAGATATGCTAGGGAACAGGAATATTGTGGTAATGAACAATGGAACACTATCCTATTCACTGAAGAGTCAAGGTTTTTTTCTCAGATCACTGGATGGACGTGAAATAATTCACCTAAGAACTATAGAACGTTTTTTCCAAAACCATTTACAACCAAGAGTGAGTACGGAGGCGGTTGGATCATGATGTGGGGTGGCGTGAGTTTTGAAGCTCAGGCAAACTTAGTCATAGTGAAAAGGAGATCCATGTCAGCCGATAGGTATATAAGAGACGTTTCAGACCCATATTTTGTCCATTTGCGCCGTTCCTCGGGGACGATTTCACGCTGATGGATGACAATGCACTCCGCATGTTGCAAGTATTGCTAATGAGCATTTAGCCGATGTTGAAATTCCAGTAATGAAATTGGCTTCCTCGAAGCCTAGACTTGAGCACAATTGAACATGTTTGGGATCCTCTTGGGAGAAAAGTACGATCCCGTTTACCAGCTCCTGCATATTCACAGGAGCTCAGTGAAATTTGAATAGAAGAATGGTAATCTGTCAGGCATGCTGAGACGATTCTGCAGCAGTTATTCGTGCACGTGGAGGAAACACGTTGTACTGATTTCATTAGCATTTCAGAATCACTTTTCTGGTTTCATTCGTTATTATCATCATCGCTTATTTCCAAAGTTTTTTATCACCATGATGCAGAAATGATACGTTTTTACTGAAACTTTTGTAATTTCCAAAAAGTACCAGTTATCGTAACAAATTAAATAAAAAAGAAGGGAGATGATTAAATAAGAAATTACTCGATTCTCCAGCTTAGCCACTCCACAGATCGTTATAAAATTGGAGTAAAAATGCACTTTTTGTGTCACTCTGTATAATTTGGAGATATGCCACATTTACTAAAATTTCAACCTCGTGTGAGATTCTTCGTAAATTTACCTACGAAATGGTACAAAAATCAAACTAATCAGGCTTGAATTGCCTGAGTTATTTTTGATAAAAATTCATCAATATTTTGTGTGGATCGATTATTTTGCCGGTGCGTGTAGTTCAAGACATATATAGAGATAAAAAAAACGAAACCAACTGAAAAATCCACATAAAATTGAATTAACCTAACACTGACTAGGATCAGATACCTACAAAATGAAATGGTTCCGAATTTTACGATACCACTCTCCATTTTCTGATCTTCAAATCTACGATTAATGCATCATCATGATAATCAATTCAAACTGTTTGTCGAATCAATTTAGATCGAGAGCATTCCGAATTTCGAAACAGCCGGCTTTTCTTACGGGTATACAATTTTCATTGTACAGGGTGCGCCTCTTAAAATGAAATCCCCCCTTAACCAGGGCCAGGTAGCCGTGTGGACAGAGTGTCAATATTCTAATCCGCATTCTGGTCGTGGGTTCGATTCTCATCGACTGCAGTAATTTTCCTGATGACCCAAAAAAGTGTTTGAGATCACACGTTAAAAGGTAAGGCCCCCGTCATTCCTTGCTCGCACAAGACTCTCGAAGACTTCTGAGGGTTGCTCGTAAGGAGGCAACCGAATGACGGATAGAACAATTTTAGAACTCTTTCGTTTTCAGAGATTTGAAGAAATGTTGAATAAAAAAGTTGTGTGAAACGATCCAAACTTTTATTTCGTGAAGTTGTTTCCTATACAGGGTCATTCGTTTTTCCAGAAAGGAGATCAACTTTGATTTTTTCTATGGAACACCCTATATAATTCACGACATGTCGATAGAGCCTCTTTTTCTGATCATATGAGTTGCATATTTGGATGAAAAATAGCTAGTTGAGTTATTGATTATACAAATTCACCAAAATACCGCATTATACATCACTTCATATCATCTAATGTGAGTTGAATATAGTGGGCTTTGAAATAACGTTTATATGTTGCTCAAGCTCCATGGAAATGTCATAGTATTGCTTATTATGGAAATGCAATCGTTCAATCTCAATACAAAAAAATATGAATAGACAATTTCAATGGAAGATTCGGTATTTTGGGAAACTTTGATAATAAATAACTCAATTATTTTTCATCCAAATATACAACTCACATATATTTTCGAAATCAGAAAAGAAGGCTCTATCGACATTTCAGAAAATATATAGGGGGTTCCATTGAGTTGATGTTCTTTCTGGAAAAAGGAATGACCCTGTATATGAAGCAAGTTTGGGTCGTTTCGAATAACTTTTTGATTCAACATTTTTTCACATCTCTGAAAACAAAAGAGTTGAGGGGAATTCCATTTTGAAAGACGCGCACCCTGTACTTTCTCAGATGATAGAACTACTTTAGAACTAATACAAACATACTCAAATGATCGTTTCCAGGCAGTTTTTTATAACAATGAATTCTCTGAACTGAAACCAATTAACTTGGGTGTGCCTCAGGAATCGGTATTGGGTCCGCTGTTGTTTGTGATTTATATTGATGATCTCTACAACTATATGAAACCATGTCACAGGGTATTAATTGCTGATCAATCTGTCGAAATACAAGGGAAGGCCAAGTATTGGCTGAGTGTTAATAATCTTATGATGAATAACAATAAATCACAAAACATGGTGATATCTACGGCTCAGCCATTACCTGAGTTCCAAACTGTTAAGTTATTGGGTTTCACCTTGGATAATAGGTTAAATTGGTCAAGCCACATTTTAGGTTCGAAAAGTGAATTATCGAGTGCTCTATTTTTACTTCGACAGCTAAAACCTATAAGTGATTTCACTACATTGAAAATAGTTTTTTGCTCACTAATTCAATCTCATATTCCTCATGGGATCCTACTATGGGGAAATTTTAGTGATGCCCAATGTATTTTCATATTACAAAAAAAGGCTCTGAGAATTCTTCTAATTGGTTGCAGAGATTCGTGTCGTGATTCATTCATAAAACACAAAATGATGTCAGTACCTTCAATGTATATTTATACCAGTATATTAGAGATTCACAAAAAAGCTCCCCTGCTTCCTAAGCAATCCAGCTTACATAATCACTATACACGCAACAGTGATCTTATTAGACCTCAACGTTACAAACTCAGCAAATCCCAAAATAATTCTCATGATCTCAGATTATATATAGCTCTTTCTGCCAGTTTTGAAATTATGAATACGTTATGGAAAAGTTATAAGAAGATTATTTTGAAAAAAATTGCTCTTACTCGATTGCAGAATATCTGGCTCACGTTAGTTGCCACCATTTTGATACAAGGAACACACTTGCCGATCATCCACTCTTGGGGAAAACGTAAATCTGTATTTTGTTTTTGATTGTATATTATTCGTCTTTGATTGTATATTTTTCGTCTTTCATTGTAAATTATTATTTTCTACTCCTTACTCGGTAAGTACTTCATTTTGATACTGATTTGAGGGAGGAAAACACGTTCTACCTCCCTAGGGAGGTAAGTAAATATTTACCTCCCTAGGGAAGCAAGTTAAATAAACTTCATAATTTAACCTAAAAATTGAACTCTTTATTTTAAATCAACATTTATAGTACAATTTGAAAAATTACAGTTTGAAAAATGTGGGGAAACCTCTTGCAGCTGTTTGGACACTTCTACTGTTGTGCTTATGTTATCAGAAATTCTTGTTACAGCGCTGGTCAATGTGGTAGGCAGATGAATAGCAGATGAATTTGAATCGCTGTTATTCTTGTTATAAAGAATTTTGTTTGCCACCTCGTTCTTATTGCAAAGACTATCAGCAACATAACCTTCAGCAACCGTCTCCGACTTCCAGCCCCCATGTCTTTTAAGAGCTAAAACACTTGAACCAGTGTTAGCTAATAATGTGGCAGACGTTCTTCTAAACGAATGGCCGGTATAAGCTTCAGCGTTAGGCAGTCTGAGAAATTTTGCTATTTTTGTGGAAATAGCTGAAAAAGTGTTCTTTCCCGCAGGCTGATTCAAGCATTTGCCTTCTTGGTATCTCAAAAAAAAGCGTTGTTGGGGTCTTTCAACCAACGATCTTATTTTGAGATATCTTTTAAAAATGTTTAAATGGCAGATTTTACTGTCTTTGTCTGCAGTGATGGTGAATCTTCTAGATGTACCATTTTTTGAATTAGGTATATTGATTATAATTAAATTTTCCATTTCCTGGACATTCTCTACACTCAGATCGCATAATTCTTGTGAGCGGCATGCTCCAGCAATCCCGACGACCATCACTACCTTCATTAATAAAAAACTTCTATCGTCGGCTTCTGTCAAAAATTTTTCTATTTCTTCTCGCGTGAAAACTTGAGACTTTTTTGGCTTATAGCCATCATTTTTTCTCTTCAAAAACGCCTTTAGTTTAAGGAATTTGGAAATGTCTACATTGTCTTGAATGGATAACGTCGATTTTAGCATCGAATACTCACTCCATAAACTTGCAGGGGACTTTAGGGTCTGTGACTTCTCTACAAAGTACGCCAGCAAAGAGTTCTCGGTAATGCTTTCACCACTTGCAATATTACTGCACCAAGCCTTGAAGTCCTTGTAACACCGATTGTACCGTTCCTTCGATTTCTGAGGTAATAGAGCAGCACAAGCTGCATTCGCAACTGCATCGATATCCATTATTTCGATTTTTTTAATAAAATGACACTGACAGAACATTTGTTTGATTATAAACAATATGAATTCCATAGCGATCAACGTGTAACACTAGGAAACCTGTCATACATACAGGGTTTTTCAGTTAGATTAGTCAAATTATATAAGTAATTGAAAAACATTTTTTTTTAATCTAAGGGAACTGGAGTAGAAAAAATATAATACAAAACTCGGGAGGCAGTGTTCTTGACCAGTCTCGGACTATTTTGCAAGCCCTCGCTATCGCTCGGGCGCAAACAATGTCCTCGACTGGTAAGTATCACTTGCCTCCCTTGTAGTGTAAATAACTATTTTTTACATTCTTTTCACCAAAATGGAATCATTTAGGACTTGCTACAAATGTATGAATGTACATCAAGTAGTCAATAAAACTCTACTCTTATAATAATGAATATGAAAATCCAACTCATTGGACAACTGAAAAAATTTTCGATATACTTTTTTTCATAGGTGCTTACAATCAGAAATTCAACAGCGATGAAGATAACGATGAAGACGAAGAAGACGAAGAAAATATAGATATTGAAAACGAACCTGTAGCAAACATTCCCGTTCAAAACTCGGATGAAGACATATTTTACAGGTGAGAATGGTGTGAATCTCAATATATTCTACTCATACCAGCATATATACGGTGTTATTTAAAAATGTGGTCAAACTTCAAGGGGTGATTATTCGGGTGATTCTAAGACGAGAAATTGTCTTTCCCAATTTTGATGAAACTTTGTGATTTTGTTAACAATTTCAAGAAGTTTCATTCTGATGCAAATAGATTTGAATAATTGATTCCAGTGGCGTAGCAGTGGATTACCTTTTCGATATTCATGATATCTACGTTATTTCAAGTTCGATATTTTCATCAGATTGAACAATCGGAAATACAATTCTTTTTTTCCTTATACATTTTTTTTATATCACTTGGTTTCTTAGAAAATTATGATGAATTGATTTGATTCCAAATTTTAATGAAGGTGCCCTCAAAACCCCCATTGGGATTACCCAATAGCCTCCATGAATATCATTCTGAAATTTCTAGACTTTCTCAGTCACCATAACTATACTGAATTATGCCCTCATCATGAAAGTTCATATAGGGTAATCATGAAAAACAACAATCAATACGAAGCATTTCAGGATCTAAGTTTATATGATCTTTTCGTCTCAGAATCACCCAAATAATCGCCCCTTGAAGTTTGGACACATAGTTGAATAACATCCTGTATATAAGTGATAATCTCTGTGTTGAAATTTCATTGTCACACAAAATGTTGCGTTTTCTAACTGGTTACGTAAATATCAATGCTGAAATTCTGAGACTTTGCCAGTCATAAATTAGACTGAATTTTGCCACCATGAGAGCTTATACAGGGGGATCATGAGAATGAATTTATACTTCCAACTGCAACATCCTGTATCTCAAAAACGAAGTAAGTAGGGACACAATGTTTATATGAACTTCCTTCCATCTCTCAAATAATATAACATAAGTTTATTCAAAATGTTGACCTAAGATGAATTGAAAGTGTACATATTGGTATTGAATATACAAATAAAACCTCAGGAAGTACTTAATGTATATAAAATAAAAATTATGGTTATTAAATCAATTGGTTAATTCGAGACAGAAGTCATTTATAAATGAAAATGTATTGTTTTTCATTCAATCATACCACCCTATACGTCTTTTGAGGTCATTTGAAATCAAACTAACGGTATATGTGCGGTCATCAAATTGTTGATGGTTCAAAAATTATTAAATTTTTTTGAAAAACGCGACCCATTTGGAATGAATCAGTAACAAAGAGGCTGTTTCGAATAACCCCATAATATGTTATACCATTTTGGTATCATATTGGCAACTTTTTCTGATAATTGGTTATATTTGTGGGGTACTTTTCAAATCTGTCTGCTGCATTTGAAAATCAATCTAAATATTTCATTAAATGACAAAACTCAAGGAAAACAACATTTTTCTCAGGTTATTGATGAGGACTAACACATGTCATGAAATTATTTCTGAGGAAAGGTGTATCCACCAAAATAAAATGTGTAGAAGAAATAACCACAAATGTGACCTAGTTCTACTGCAGTCAATCTTTTTTATAAAAATGAAGAAAATTAATAACTTTTGAACTATCAACAATTTGATAACCACATATACCGGTAATTTGATTGGAAATTACCCTTCCTACCACCCCACTTCTTTTGATCCATTACCTTCTTATAGGACACCCTGTATAGATATTGAATATCAACCAGAGAAGCAACTAAACTCCTGGAAGAGACTTATAACTAGTTCTCCATTTCAGTTCTCTTCCAAAAAATGAAATCACCTGAATTCATTGGCACTCATTTATTCACACCCATTATACTAAAAAAACCACAAAACTATAATACTTAGATAATTATTAGTCTTGGATAAAGTAGTGTATACTTCTCGCAATAATGGATATTGCAATACATAATACAATGGTCTGTCATTTATTTGATACAGGCGCGAGGCGCGTAGGTATGTTTTTTTTTCTAGGGGGGGTACTCAGTAGCGGAAATTGAATTATAATTTGGGGGGTGCCTAGTAGTACAACGCGTTTCAGTGTATAATAAATCAACACAAAATGGTGGTTTATTAGCTTCAACATTTATTAAAGCTGTTTTTATATCTTAGAATATTCAAAATTACCAAAATAACAAGTATCAGTCATTAAAATGAACAAATCAAGATAAATGTTCTCGATGAAAACATATTTTATATCAAATCTAATTAACAAAATATCAGGTACCCCCATGACTAGATTATAAAAAAAGTCTTTTAAATTGCTTTTGAAACCTCGAGGAGAACCCATCGATAACATAATCTTTATCTATTCCAATCTATCTATGAATATTTGATACAAAGTTAATCCGAATAGCCTGACCCATTGTACACCTAACAACACGAGTACTTCCCAGGGACGTACCAGGGACGTCCTTCATTTTCTACGAGGACGTCCCTGGGATATCCTGTGTCGGGACATGGTACATACTAGAGACGTCCCAGGGACATCCGCTTTCCAAAAAAAGAGGCATCCTAGGGATGTCCTTCTGGTACGTCCCTGGGATGTACCAAGTACGAAGAAAGGATATCCCTAGGACGTGTCAAGGATATCCCAGAGACATCCCTTCGACAAAAGAAAAAAAAATGTAGGTCGAGTACGGATTGAACCCGGGACCTTTGGCTTATCAGGCACGCATCTTACTCCATTGGCTATTGAGCCTCCTGAAGAATGTACTAAACAGATTAATAAACAGGACTTAACTACAGAAACCTGAATAAATACAACTTTGTTAGGATTTGGGTACAATTATTATAACATTCTTGGATGTTTAAAAATGAGAGGCATTATGCATGTACGATTTCTGTTTGCGAAAAATGGTAATTGCTCAAGAAGTTCTGAAACTTTATTCTTTATTTTTATTTCGAAAGAAAAACAAACATTTTCAAGAAAATGCAACTTAATACTCTGATGAAATTCAATGACTCTGATGTGAATGGATATCAGATATTCCAGGGACACGAATAGGATAACCTAGGGATGTACCGGGCGGGATGTCCACTGGACAACCACTACGCGACATCCCCTGGATGCCCCAATCATGTCCTTGTAAAAGGGACGTACCTAGGACATCCCTGTGTTGTTAGGGACACCTCAACCATGATTTCAGTGTCTTACTTAAGTGTATAGAAAATGATCTTTCAGCACTCGCCACACTCACCGGCATAACAGATTTTTTCTACTCACATAACTAAAATGGCATTTAGCGTACGGATACGTACCACGCTAAATGATCGATTAATCACGGATTGTCGATCTGTGATTTATTCAAAATATTGAACACATTACCATGGCAACTCGATTTCTTAAACACATTACCATGGCAACGCAGTTCATTAAACACAGCTTCAGTAATTTGAGACATGTCTGGCCTGTCAATAATTGACAGTTAATACAATTATTGTATTAACTGTCAACTGCTATTCTCGAAATTTGGTTCAGAATTATTTAAATAATATTCGTTTGTATCAGAATTCATCATTAAAAATATAATGCGAATAGTAGACGAATGTGAAATCGAAGAGAATGTTCTGGTACTTGCATATCTCCTAGAAGTGTAAAAATGAAGCATCCATCTTTGAGAACAATTTATTTACTCTGCGCTGAGCATGAAAATATACGTGAAACAAAGGTTAGCAAGCAATGGACTGGACACCAATATACCAATATCACTTATACGTGTCTCGCTGGTTGCATGCAGTTGCATGTATTATGTTCTCAATTCCCATTCCTTTCGAATCATTCTGTAGGTTAGCAGGAATTGCAGGTACTTTAATGTAATTTCCGGAGTTCGTAAAAAAATCATAGTATGTAACGCGTTTATAAACTCTTCTATACACTCGTTTATTAAACACTCGCTCCGCTCTGCCACGCTCGTGCTTAAACTACTCGTTACTAAAAGGACGTTTATAACACTACTTGTTACATAATATACTATGATCTGCAGGAGTGTATAAATAGTGGGAAATATTTCGATACTGCAATGCTCTAAAGTATCTAAGGCTGTTTCTTTGGGTAAATTATTATAGGTTTATTTTTGGTTTCTTCCCATTCATTTTTCCAAAGATCTATTTCTGATCCCAATAAACACAGCTACGTGGAAAAAACTTTGAATTGTTCAAGTAACGCCTCTTTTATTCATCGTTGAAAAAACGGCAAAATGTCGTTAGGCAATACGTTTTATTCTGGTTCTACAGTAACGTTACCTCTTCACGTTGATTCATCGTAACTAAGACGTTGCACACGTAGCACACGTAATGTGAATTCTACTGATATATACCGTTTTATTTCAGTTCCGACGTAACCATTCAAATCAACAGTTTCTTAACGTTTTCTATACGTTTCCAATCGATTTAAATATAACGATGTATTTTGGTTTCAAACTTGGTTTCAAAGTAACGTTGCTGAGATACGAATTCTGAACGTTGATGTTAACTCTAGAATTAAACGTGAAATTGCAGAATTCAAGTAACGTTGATCTTCTAGATTGAATCAACGATGATTTATCTTATCGTCGAATCGTTATTACTACCAATTTTAAACGTAACTAAAACGTTTCTGAGACATTAGGTGAAGTAACGTTTCCATTTTCACTACGGATCAATCTCTATTATCATCGCAAATTGATTAAAAATAATAAAAATAACCAAAATACAAATACAAGATTCATAATGTGTATAGTCCTAGATCCTAGATATCAATGGAATCTCAATCAGATAGGTATCACTATTTTGTTTTCGACTCGAGACTTGATGGCGTCATTCATCCGTTTCTTCGCAAACTTCAACCAGTCCTTGGTTGCATCTGCAATATGGACATCAGTTGCTGCTTCAAACTTCCTTTCGACAGCAACTGCATAAATTATTCAATATGAATATAATGAAAAACGAAAAAAGAAATTTACATACCATAAATTAGTTGGATCACCTTTGTGTCCTTGAGTGCAGCCACTTTTCCTTTGCCTTTTTATTTGTAAAGACGAACTAGCTCATTGGTTCTCAAAATCCTCCATGTATGTTCCTCTGGAGAATTGCCAGCAATTTGACTTCAATTTTGTTATCTGAAATTTCGGCTCATTTGTGATCGAAACAAATTCTGGAGAATCAATGATAATTATTTATGAAATGTCTGTCCCATCATTCCTATCAATGTTCCTGAATATTGAGTACCGGTTTCCAACCATTTTCCAACCTTTATTTCATCAACGCATTCAAGAAGTGTTTCATCTACCTTCTATACACGTTTCATCACCGTTATAAGAGGTGGTTAGACAAAACGACTCCAAATGAGATGTGATTTTTCTCGACCGAGAATTTATAACTATGAAATATAATTAAAACTCCATGATATAAATTTGTGCAAGTTGGATCAAGTACCTACTGCATGGGAGTTTGTGAACCTTCCGACATGACATAATCGAATAAGTAGGTATAACTTTTGATAGGTGAATGTACTCATTTTGCTTCAAATTGATCATCCTTGCAATCGTCTTCAAGATATGACCATTGGAAATATTCGGAATTTGCACAATACATAGGTAGAATTCAATAATAAAGTGGGTACTTACCAATCTCATATCTTCTCACCAGAGGCGGACTGGGGGGCCGGGCGGTCGGGCGATCGCCCGATGGGCCGGGGCCCTTTGGGGCCGATAGAAATAGTGAATGAATGAAGAAATATATGTCTTCTCGACAGCTTTCTGAAGTATGAGATCATTATAACTGCAATTTTGTTCAGGAAAATCTTCAATTTCACCACTCCTCTTTCGAGCTAACTACAAATGTCAGGTACCAATGGATATTTCAGATGCATACCAAATGGTTGGGAAAACCATGAAATCCTTGAAAAAATATCGCGAGAATATGATGTAATTTTGAATGATACACATAAATTCATTGATAAAGCAAATGAACTATTTATTTTCAAAGAACACGAAATAAAAAAAGCTTCTTTGATGAGAAAGGTGATCATGAAGCACATCAAAATCCCATCAAGAAATTCAAAATTGAGGCTTTTAATGTAACCACTGATAATATTATCACCGCACTCGAATCCAGATTCAAGAGACCTAAAGAATTGTTTTACGATTTTGAACTATTTGATCCGTCAAGATGCACTGATGATCAAATAATATCAACTGAAAACTCAATAAGGATGATTTATGAAATTATCACAAACTATCATCCTGCTAATGAAAAAGACCTTGAGAGATTTTACCCCGCAGTGGGAAAGACTGTCGAGTACTTTGTCAGAAGATATGATTGATGATGGTGGAACTTATGCCTTCGGTGTTGAAGAGGAATTTATTTCATCAAAACACAAATTTTGCAAAACATTTTCACTTTGTTGCTACCATGTTTTGCACAAATACAATTCATGTGTCGAGGATTCTCACCCTTTCAGTATCGCAGGTTTTGTGTGAAAGATCTTTCTCAAAATCGGAATTTATCTTGATTAGGCTAAGAAATTATCTGAGCCAAGAACATTTGGGGACTTTCATGATGATGAGCTGCGAAACTAGATTTTAGGAAGCGACGATATCATTTTCGATTTTGTTGAAAAATGGGGATCCATGGTTAATTCGTTTTTTAATTTCAATTTCTAATGCGGCTTATGTTTTATTTTGGTTAGATACTTTTCCTAGTATTTTTGTAGCTTTAATATTATTTACAAAATACCTTGTGTTCCTCTATACCATAGAAATATCCTTCATTTAATTTATTAAAATTTTTCATTTATACAATGTTATTTATGTTATTCATTTCATTTTTCTCCAGCATATTTGATGTTTTATCGACTAATTTTTTCGCTTAAGTTTGATTATAATCAGAATTATTTGTAATATTTTTTTGCGTTTTTGTCTATGTCACTCAAATATGTAATGAAATTATATGAATAGCTATATTAGCTTTGAAATTTTCTCCGGAGATGGGCCGGTAGGATTCAATTCGCCCGGGCCGATTCTGAGGTCCAGTCCGCCTCTGCTTCTCACATCCACGCACAACCTCTGAAGAATAGACGAACTGTGAGCATATTGGCGAGTGGCGGTGGCGGACTGCCAATAGGTCAGGTTCATTCAATACGAATACTTTTGAATAATTCATCCAACGGATCGAACACGTATTTTCAGAACGTTTAATAAACGTTAAAAAAGTTGTAATTATAGAACGTGGTATTAAGGTCGCTCGGAGATATAGTTGTAATTCAATAATTCATTCAACGGATCGTACACGTAATTTCATAACGTTTAATGAACGTGAAGAAAAAAGTGCATGAAACGTGGAATAACGGTTTCTTGAAGATATAGTTGCTATGGAATAATTCATTCACCGTATCATACACGTAATTTCAAAATGTTTAATGAACGTAAAAAAGTATCTATCAATTCAAAACTGGAACATTATAGATTGCCCGAAGATGAAGTTATCATTGAATAATCCATTAAACGGATCATTCACGTAATTTCATAACGTTTAATAAACGCGAAGAAAGTAGTGATTGAAACGGGGAATAAAGGTTGCTCAAAGATATAGTTGCTATTGAAAAATTAATCAACGGGTCATACACGTGATCTCAAAACGTTTAATGAACGTGAAACAGAGTAGTAATTGAAACGTGAAATATAGGTTGCTTCAAAATATAGTTGTTATTGAATAATTGATTCAACAGACTTTATACGTGATTTTGGAACGTGGAATGAACGTAAAAAAAGTACGTAATTGAAACGTGATAAAGAGGTTGCTCAAAGATTCAGGTTGCTGAACAATATCATACTCGACGTTATTTCGATGTTCTATGAACCTCATTGAATATACGATGAGGAATCACGATAATGACACGTTGCATACTGGTGGCTATATAGACGAGTTGAATCATTATCGGTTATTATAAGTTGAATCAACGTTTGGTTGAATATACGTTACGAAAGTAACGTTGCGAAATTCAACGAGTAACGTTTAATCAACATCCACTACTATACCGTATATTACACGTGTGTGTGTTTATTGGGATTGCGAAAAATCTGACTAAAATGTTCGGGAAATAATTCATTTCTGAATTTATTAACATATTCAGAAACTTGTTTTACTAGAATCTTTGAATCACTGGTATAGAACATAATCAGGCATCAACCTGTTGATATATAACATTTTGAATGCATTATTAATTATTGTATCGAAGTCTTTCACTGATTCACTATTTTTGTGCTTATCTACGCTGGTGAGATATACAATACCTATGCTTGATGATTTGAATTCATATTCATTCATGATGATTGACGATGCACTGTATATTTTCCCGATTATAATGAAAAATCAAACAATGATTTACAGACTTCCCCACCTTGGATTACGAATGAATATCACAGTCAGATGTCCGTTATCATATGCGCCATTGCCATATCTGAAAAGTCTAGGAGAAGATCAAAGAGAAAAACTGAAAAACCGAAACAGAACTACCGGACCGATAGAAATGAAGATTACTTTCGAATGTGAAGGGGCCACTTACCCTAGGCTACCCAATTTTTATCAATATGATGTGAAGCCAAAGCAGCTGTGATTTTTTGACTCGTTTTTATTTATATTTTTGTGCAATGTTTTAATTTTATACAATTTTCCTGCAAATACATTTTTTGATTTTAGAACAACTTCTTCCTACCACAAAGAGAGAGAAACTGAAAGTCATTACCACAATATATAGGAGTGGGTGATAATTTTTGTCGGTTACTCGACCGAAAAGATATACATACAGGGTGCCCGGAAATTATGTGCAAAAAATCAAGGGGGTGATTCTGCATGAGAAAACATGCGGGGCTGATTTAGCCATTTTCAAATTAGAATTGTGAAATCCAGTGGCGTCCCGGGGACATCCTACCGAATATTTTTGTCAATAAAATGTGCGCCCCCGATTCTTTCGAGTTCTCTATCTCCATATCCTAATGATTAACTGAAAATACATCATTTTAGTCTCTTGAATTGTTTTGCAATTTTGCTGCGTTTCCGTGGAATAAAATAAATACCTATTCATTGTATAAATTTGTGCAGAACATTGCTTCACAAACAGGGGTGAAATTAAATGTGTTATCCATGTCCATAGACGTAGAATATGAATTGAGATTAATTTCTTCCAAATATGTCATAATACATGTTTGACACACTTTGTATCATCGAAAACTACGCCTTCCTGGACCGAGAATACACAGTTCTCAATATACAGAGTGTAGAGTGTGTGAAACATGTATCAAGGAATAAGATAATGATTTTTAATACTTATTCTCTATCTATGGACAATGCCGCATTTATTTTCACCTCAGATTTTGAAGGAATTTTTTGGCACAAATTTATGCAATAAATTGGTAATTATTTTTTTCCATGGAAATGAAGCAAATTATCAAAATAATTCAAAAGACCGAAATGTTGTATTTTTAGTTGGTTAATAGGTTATGAATATACAGAATTCGGAAAATTCAGTGGCGTATATTTTATTAACAATAATATTCGGTAGGTTGCCTCCCGGGACGCCACTGGATTTTATAATTCCAAATGAATTATGGCTATATCAGCCCCTCATGACAAAGAATATTATTGCCAGATTTCAAGAAAATTGGTAGAAGTACATTTGTGATTCATGAAAAACCGATCTTGTTTAAAAGTTTTAACACACTGTATGCATTTCCGGACCCAGGTACATATGGAAAGAATTCCTTATTTCATCATGTAGAATCACCCCCTTGATTTTTTGCGCAGAATTTCCGGACACCCTGTATAATAATGAAGAGGATGGAAAGCCCTAATTTCGAGTGACAATGGAAAATGAAAAAACTCCACCGCCCCGTGTGAGAGTCGAACTCACAACCTCTGGGTTACATGCCCAACGCTCTGCCAATTGAGCCAACTGGTCGTCCGTCGATCAATCGGCAGGAAGGTCGAGTTCTCATCACACACCAAGCGGCAGAATCCTTCCAATTCCCGAAGTCACTCCTATGTATAGATTGATTGCGGACATTTCCGTATACAAGGAAAGGCAATGCCAGAGGAGGAACGGGAAAATATGGAGACTGTATAGTACCATCCTGCCAGCGATGCTTCGTATAGTGCATGATTTCGAGTATCACAAATTATCAACCACTCCTATGTATAGATTGATTGCGGACATTTCCGTATACAAGGAAAGACAATGCCAGAGGACTAACGGGAAAATATGGAGACTGTATAGTACCATCCTGCCAGCGATGCTTCGTATAGTGCATGATTTCGAGTGACTTCGGGAATTGGAAGGATTCTGCCGCTTGGTGTGTGATGAGAACTCGACCTTCCTGCCGATTGATCGACGGACGACCCGTTGGCTCAATTGGCAGAGCGTTGGGCATGTTACCCAGAGGTTGTGAGTTCGACTCTCACACGGGGCGGTGGAGTTTTTTCATTTTCCATTGTCACTCGAAATTAGGGCTTTCCATCCTCTTCATTATTATTATTATTACCACAATAGTTCATGAAATGAACGCCGAGCTGCGCCTAAGTGGTTCAGGAACGTCTGACTACCTGATGGTTTAGGAATCTAAAATTTTCAACGTATTCAGTAGAAGATTGCGGGTCAGAAATTCATTCACCGAATTTGTTTGGGATTATCAAATATCATTTGCTTCTGGTGTGTAAAAACTATCCTCTTCGTGAATTACAGCAGAATAAGATTGTTTCAAAGTACTACATATATACAGTGTGACCCACTCTGGAGCGAGAGATTTACCAAAAATGCTGTCTATGACCAAGTGGGGTCATCTTCAGTGATATACACTGCTCGCCAACAGCCATGGAACCACCCCAATTTCCGAAAAATGATATTAGGTCATCATTAGGTGATCAAAATAGATTGAAAATTACTTCAGATTCGGAATCAGGACGTCCGATTCACTAACTATTCATAGTTTTCCTAGAAAATTTTCAGTTCAGAAAAATTAAATTTTGTCTCACTTTCCATGAAAGCACCCCCGTCTCTCACGTAATTTTCGAGGTAGGGTTCTGAAATTTGCAGGATTAAGGCAAAGTCCAGAGATAAAATCAATTACGTAAGATACGGGGTTGCTTCCATGAAAAGTGCGACAAAATTTAATTTTTTAGAACTGAAAATTCTCCAGGAAAAATATGAGTAAGTGGTGAATTGGGCATCCTGATTCTCAATCTGAAGTGATTTTCGACCTATTTTGACTCCTAATATAATTTTCCGGTAATTGGGGGTGGTTCTTCAGCTGTTGGCGAGCAGTGGATATCACTGAAGAGGGCCCCACTTGGTCATAGAGTGCATTTTTTGTATATCTCTCGCTCCAGCAAATTTCACGACCCTTACCCACCGATTACGAAAGATACAGAGGTGTTTCCATGAGAAGTGGGTCACACTGTATTTCATGAAACATAGACATTTTATACGTTCTAGTGAATGTTCGTTTTTATATTCTTCATTGACGAAAGAAGACGTAGCTAAGGAATTTCAACAATACTTAGATAATTTAGTTGAAAATGATGGTTGTTTGTGATGAAATGTAAGAACTAACGTTTAGTAACAACATGTGTTTATGTAAATTTCGAATTTGCAAGTATACCTACATAATATTATATGGTAAACTGTTGATAAATGATTTTTATATTTATCTTAGGGAGGGGCAAGTCACAATAAATGATGTACAATATTCAGTACATATCAAAAAAACAGTTTTTGCACGACCTATAAGCTATTCTACACCGACAAAAGCGGGAATACAGGTTATACAGAGTAGGCACTCTCTAGACAATAGTTTTTCCACACATTTCTGCAATATTTATTGAAAAAACTTTGGAAAGCAATTGAGAAAATATGCTACCACACTTTTTTGATGTACACAAAAAGCAATATGGCTACTCTTCTTTATCGGTAGTCATGATAGTCAAACTTGATTTTGTGATTATTGTGTTCAGCTTTTCATATTGACAATAATTGATTTCATCATAAGATTCTTTCAATTAAAATCGTCGAGTCGTGCAAAAAATGGTATATAAACCTCGGAAGTGAGTTCTTTTTATCCCTCAGTGCATTGTAGCACCCTCTGGCTACAAAACCACCTCTGGAAAAAATCGTGCACTTTACTCTCTCGATATATAATCTACTATTATTGTTCATAAAACATGGAATGAAAAAAAGAAGATTAAGTGAATTGACATCACATAGGTATTCTGTTTACAGCCAAAATTACAATAAAAACGTTATTCTTGCACGTGATGATAATCATAATCTTGTTCGAACAAAAATGGCATACTTATAGAGTCTTGAGCAAATTTATCAATAACTTCGTTGATAAAATTAACTCTATATCCTTCTATAAGATGTCGATGAATACTAATTAAAGAAAGTCTCAGAAAGTCACTATAATAAGCGCTAATCAGAATAGGAATTGAATAATGCAAATGTATCTTGTTTGCAAAGTATCTGAGTAAAGACCAGGCGCTAGGGGGGGGGGCGAGTGTCCCCCTTGGCTGCCCCTCCGGACGCCCCTGGGATTTAAATTGATAGAAAATGTTTGATGTGAAATTTTCTAGAATATTCAGAACATCATGATCTCAATCGTGGCATTACTTATTTTGTCACCATCACTGAGACATTCAATAATTTTCTTATTGTCATTCTTCGTATGAGTTTCATTGCTCTTGATAGTTTCATCCTAAACGAAACTAACGAGAAAATGTCAATCTAAATGACACACATTTATTTAATCTCTTAAGTAATATGTATAGTAGTGAGGAACAAAAGTTGGTCGCCATCCTTGTAACTTCTTTATTTTTCTTATTACAAAAAATTTTGTATGCATGTAAAGTTGTAGGGATTGATTCAACAAATGGAGTGTCTCAGAAAAGCTCAGCTACTATGATTTTTTTTTAATGGGACACCTATACCTTTTCAACTTCAATTTCGGAATCGGTGAGTTATATTTCGGAAAAAGTAATCTCGATTTCAGAATTGGTTAGTTCGATTTTAGAAATGGTGAAGTCAATTTCGGAATCGGTGAGATGAATTTCAGAAAAAGGTCATTCAATTTCAGAAATGGTAAGTTGTATTTCACAATTATTATTGGTAGGTTCAATTTCAGAAGATAAAATCCTTTTATATGTTTGAAATGTTTTTAATTGCAAAAGAGAAGATTGTTCACAGTGGATGGAACGGTGTTTGAGAGCCCAATGTTGAATCAGATTGAACATATATGGGGTGCCTTCAAGTCAGAAGTGAAGAGCTTCTTGCAAGAGCATCGCCAAAGGGTCATAGCTGGAGATCCGAACAGATTGCTCAACCAGATAGAATTCAGACTGCGATGTCTTGAAGAATGTGCAGATCATTCAATGAAAATGATAACACCTCAAATGTGTTTGCATTCTTATAATCATGTGCAACGCCACTATCTTCCAGCGATTCAGATGGACGGCATCTGTGGATTAAATTGTTTTTGAAAAGTTGAATATTTTAAATATGGTTTGTTAATCTCACATGCAATTGGAAATATTTCGAACAAATATAAGGATTTTTTTCATGATATTGAACCTACCAATTTTGAAATACAACTTACCATTTCTGAAATTGAATGGACTTTTTCTGAAATTCATCTCACAGATTCTGAAATTG